GAGACCTTCTCCGACCATGGATTCTCCTTCGTGCCATTGGACTCCCCTCTCTCTCTTGTGACCTTTCCGATCAAGGGGACCCTCCACCTCTTTTTCTTCTTCTTCTTCTTCCACCGCCTTCTTCTTCCCTCTTCAACTTCTCCAATTCCTCCTCCAACTTCTTCTTCTTCGCGGCCTGCTCCTCCTGTAAGAACAACTTTCTGGCCTGCTTCACCAATTCCCTCTTCTCGATTTTGGCCTTCCGCTCGGCCAAAATCTTCGCAGCCTCCTCCTTCTGCTCCTTGGTGTAAGGAGTGGTGCTAATAACCACCCCGTCTCCACTCTACATGTAAACGTGTTCCAAAAGCATAGCGGAAAAAAGAAACGCCAAAGGGTTCCCCAGAGGGAGAACCCCACGAGCAAGCCGTACATAGGGTAGTCATCCATGATGTCAGGTGCACGACAAAGAACTGTCCCACTCCTCACCACTTAGACCTACCCAGTGACTGACTAACCGGCTCTCTAAGGACTACAGGATCCGTGTTGGACCCCGTCAACTATAGTCTCTAACCTGGACCTATTACAAAGTTGTTACTACAGGACTTCAATGTTGATCAGGAGGCATTTAAGGAAAGTTGTTACTACAGGACTTCAATGCTGATCAGGAGGCATTTAAGGAGATCCCCCCATAACTTCTCAAGAATTCTTTAACGCCGCAAACAGGATGACATGATCAGCAAGTCCTCTCAAGACTTAAACAGTTGGTTGTGCAGCCCACAACTCAATTTTTCGGCCTACCATGCCACACTGTATGTACCGTTCCTTGGGAGGGTTTGTCCTCTGGGACGGTCAGTCCTCAGACATGGACTTAAGCCCTACTCAGCCCGTGTGGGTTTGGTCAACACAACTCTACGACCTCATGCACGGAGTTCCTATCACCTAGACAAAAGAGACTCAATGCAGAAAGAAGAGACAGACAAACTCAGCAAGTACTATGGGGGGAGTGCACACCCATAGGGCGAGGGAATAGTCTGAAAGGTTGGCGAGATTATACCAACTCCAGCTTGGTCAATTTTGTGGTCAACAGCTCTGGTCAACGTTCGTCAACGCTGCTAAACTTCCTGGTCAACGCCTTGGTCAACGCCAGTCAACACCTCAATCTACACCTCGGTCAACCTTGGTCAACACCTCGGTCAAACCCAATCAACACCTCGGTCAACCCTGGTCAATACCCCGGTCAATGCTTCGGTCAATGCCCAACTCGGCTATGGTTGTCGACCTGTTACATCATGCGCTTGCAACATGCTGCGCTTACAAACAAGGGCCATTTTCAGGCCCCGTGTCGTATCAGCCTGAAAGCCTGAAAACAAGGGCCTACAGGCCTTGTGTCGTTTCAGCCTGAAAGCCTGGAAACAAGGGCCTACAGGCCCTGTGTCGTTTCAGCCTAAAACAGGGCCCTCCAGGCCCAGAGTCTTTTCAGCCTGAAACGGAGGGCCCTCATAAGATCGACCTGCCCTGAAACTTAGGCACCAGACCAGGGTTTTAGCACATGCCATTTTGGGCATGTTTTCAAGACAACCTTTGTTTGAACTTCAACGCCAGGGTATGGCACATTTTGGAATTGGCAAGAGCAGCCTCCTGGACGGGCCAGCGCTATATAAGACTGGCCCGCCCTGCAGGCTGCAGGTAGTTCATAGGGACTTCCCATGCAGTTCAGGAGGCAGGAGGTAGTCTTCAGGATTCGGCAGCAGCACTCTGGAGGAGTGCTGCAGTAGTAGTAGTAGCGTTAGCAGTAGCCTTCAGCGCTGGGCGCTAGTAGGAGCTAGAGTAGTACTGCAGAGAGAGAGAGAGAGATTGGGCGGCGGCCAGAGAGACTTATCTGCAGCGCCATAGCTCCAGCTTCGCCTTCGAGGTACCTGCAGCACGGCGCCATCTTCAGAGGTTAGTACCTGGCACA